AAAAGCTTTTTATTTCTTTAAAAAGTGTACCAACTATAATTATCCATAACTATGCAGGCCTGTTTTAATGCTGTTTTATAATTACAGGTCTTAAAGCTAGATTATACAAAGTCATTTATAAATAGTCGGAACAGAGGGACTTTGGGAGGTTTTTAACCTGTGGATTGCTGTGGGTTGTGGCAGCTGACGAGATTTTGCCTGTGTATATATGGGGTGAGCTGTGTAATGATTGATGAATCCCTTAATTAACTCCCAACAAGTTAAGATTTATGGTCTCATATCTTCTTCTCCTGACACATCTGTGTTTGTCACTTTTGAAGACAGGGATAAGCCACTTCTCCAAAAGCTTTTGTGGGTATCTGAAATGTTTCTGAGGTATTTTGCCTAATGTAACAAAATTAGAGTTTTATGACATAAAATTTATGAAATTTTATGGCATGAACAATCGCATTGGGAGGGATGCTGGTTGTGTGCTAGAGGGCACTATCTGCTTGAATACTGGATACCACTTTAGATTTATTTTGGGTATACAATCATGTATGAAATGAACTGAAACCAATGAACAAATGGAAATGTAGTGGAGGACACTTAAATGAGTTTCTGTTAAAAATAATAACAATAAAAAAAATAGAGCTGTGGAAAGACACTGAATTCAAGGGAAAAAAACAAACAAGCAAAATAGTCTTATTTAATAGCCTGAAATTATTTGGATGGAACCAATGCTTATAGATGGCATGAGGAAACAATTCAAGGGAAGGTAGTGTAAGTTGTTATTCTTTCCAGTGGGAAACTCCAGCCATGCTGAAGTCAGTCCAAAAACACTGAGATCAATAGACACTGGGTATCAGTTTAAGCCTACAAAGAGTCTGTTATAAATTGAAAGAGAATAAAGAAATACGTGGAGAAACTATTGTAACATGAATCACATAAAATATTTGTTAGATAAGAGTGAGTTAGAAGAGTGAGATTTTCCTTCTCTGAAAAAAAAAAACCAAAACATTTTTGCTACCAGGAAAAGCATTTATTTAATGAAAATTTAACAAAAGGCTTGGTTTTTTACTGCAATTTCTGCATGTTAAGAAGCCTCTGTGAAAACAGAAATGAGAGTCTTTACAGGAAACAGTGTCGTATTTGAATTCATGGCCAGAACTAAATCTTCAGTTCCATCCTAACCGCTGATGAAAATCAAGTGTGGGGATACATTTCACAATTCCAATGTTTCTGTACAGTGGGCTGGGTACTGCCTGTGTCCCACTGCGTCAGAACTTTGCAGATTGAGGTTGTCTATAAAATGACTCCTTAGCTATTTTTATTCAGTAGGAAATGATTAATGGCAGTTCAAAGTGCAACTCTTCTTGCAAGTCTTAAGTTGCAACAGATTTCATCTGCAGCGACACCCTTTTACGTTCACACTCTGATCCACTGCACTGCTACTTTTCTGAGTTATATCTTGGGGGTTTGTTGGGTTTTTTTAATCATATCCATAAGTTCATGTTTGAGGAAACTGTTGTTTCCTCTTCCATTTTAAGTCTTCTTTCAGAGTGGTGTAGTTGAAAACCATTCTGAGTTTAAACTAGTTTGGGGAACAGATCTTGAAGTCATGTAAGTTGTAAACTGTTGTGTTATCACTGAGGGTAAATACAGGATATTTGCAGTCCTTTGTTAAGATGGGATAATACCAGTACTTCATTAGACAGATCTGTGTAAAAGAGCTCAGTTTCAGATGATTTGGTTACTCAGAACTTATCTGTTTCCCTTTCCTTGTTGTTTAGAATGAGAACTCGCATCTTAGATATGAAATTAGTGAAGACCCTGTATTAACTCAGTAGGATAATGAAGATAAATGAAAAAAACAGAGTTCAAGGATACATAGTGTGGGAGCATTTCAGATTCAGAAAATGGACCAATAAACCTGTAGAAATAATGAAAGACCATCTGTGAACAAATTTCCCTTGTATCATGTTTTCTGCTTGTGAACCTATCAGAGATTTGATCCTTTGCTGCTATAGTCTTTGATAATTACTGTCCTTTTGGAAGACATTTCCAGAAGGAGATACGGATTTATAATTTATTTATTTAAATCTTCCGGTCTCTTGTGCAAATTTCACAGATATTCATAGGCAGGAAGAAATTCCTGTGAAACTCTGAGGTTTGTCTAACTCATGTTGACCATGGATAGAGTGCATCCATTTCTTTGAGTGTCCCGGTCACTTGGAAGACTAATGCAGGTTAGAGCCTCAATTTTGCTGCCTTAGCCATTTTAGCAAGTTGTTAGCCTCCCAGGATGGTGATAGCACGTGGCTTGTAATTTAGACTGCATCTTCTAGAAGCAAAGAAAAAAGTTTCTTCTCTTTATTAGTATCACTTTAGTTTGACCTACAAACCAACCTGTAGGTTTTTGGTTTAGATCTGAAGCATGATGATCTCTGTTATTCTGAGTGCATGGAGGTGGACACCTCTATTGCCTTCCTTGCCTGTGTTTATAAATTCCCTGGAGAAAATGATTTCATCCCTCTTGGGTACAGTGACAAGCTGAAGATGATGATCTGCAGCTTTCTAGCTGAACCACAGTAGATAGAACTGTGTATTTACTTATAAAGTTAACAGAAGGGCTTTATTTCTGTGTGATAGTCAAACTCTCTTTGTGAAGCAACATGGCAAAATCTGGGTTAACATCAATAGGAGTTTTTAACACAGTTTGAGTATACAGTGTATAACCCAAATCATCCATACAAAGCAAGGCATCCTCTCTCTATAATTTATTGCCAGAGTGAATTGCAGTGGAGGCTTTTGTAGATGGTTTGCAATATTTTCAGTCATCTTATTGAATATAAATGTTCTAAAGTATAGAACATTACTGTGGAATAATTGACTAATGATTTTGTGTCTCTGTCCTTTTGTTTGCCAAAATTGAGACAACCGCTTAGTGCTGATTTTCAGAAAGAGAGATTTTGTAAAAACCCTGGCTTCTATTAAGGCAGTGTTGAAATGAGTAACCAAAAAACTTAAAATCAATAGAAAATATGTATCTCGGTGAGGTACAATCCAGAGTATGAATAATTCACATTAACTTCAGAAGGGAGTTGTATGGTTTCTGCAGAAGAAGAGCTTGAGATCTGTCACGTCAAACATAGCTGTAAAATGCTGAATTCAGTGGGCTAGTAAAAAACTGATCTCTGTCTTTATGCATATGCTTTGCTGCAGACACGTAGGTGGGAAAGCCTAGAAGACAGAATTCAGGTAGGATGTATGAAGTGTTAGTCTGTTGGACTAAGTCAAACATTAATAGAAAATACAGATTGCTTCTCTAAGCACAGGCAATAGGTGGTGTTCAGAACAGGCAGTGTGCAGCTGAGTATAGGTTCTGGTAGGGATTTTTTGTCTGAGTTTTTGGTGGTGGTGGAGGGTTTTTTTGGTTGTTGTTTTTGGTTTTTTTTTTTTTAATATAGTCTAACTTGGCTTGGGAGGCAGAGCTCAAAATGAGATCATTAGAAACAAAATAAGTCCTAACAAAGGGCTGTTTAAAGTCGCTGTTTGTTTTCAGACCCAGTTGACTGCTGCTAAGAACCATTCCGTGCTCAATATGCCAAATCGTATGGACATGCTCCACCTCACAGCAGCCCCACGCATGGTTCAAGAGGCTGCTGGGCTTTTGAAATGCAGTCCTTTAACTGTGAGGTGGAAAATCAAAATGGGGTAATTAGAATCATAAATACGAGATTTTTGAGGAGGAGCATTATTCCTTCAACCCGTTTTTCCAACTTTTCCGTACAATAGTCTTCGGTTTTCTTGTTCGTAACTTCTTTTTTTTTTCTATGAAGCATTTCTCTAGCTTGCTTTCTTTTCTTCTTTTAACTGTGGCTGTAGGATTTCTTATTTCTCATTCCACTCTTTCTTACAGATGCCCCTGCTTAGCACAGGGGTGCATTATGCCATCCATGCACATACCCTGATTTTCATGAACAGTGTTGCTGTAATCAATCCCAGAAGTCATCTGCATTTTAGTACTTTACTGCACCCCTCTATTTTGAAGACCAAACTGGAAGAATTCTGGGTTCAAACTGTCCTATAAGATTTTCAGTAGTGCTTGGTTTGGATGAAACCTAGATTTTCCAATAAAGCTGCTTTCAGTCTTTCTAAAAGTTGAAGATCTACACATTGCTGTAAGAATGGTGTTATCAGACAGTCTAAAAAAATTCAGAATATAGGCCTGAATTTTAAGTCAAGGTTTGTGTGTGATTTTTATAGTCTGTGCTCTGTGTATCTTCCTTGTGTATCCTTTTTTATATATAAATGTAAATTACATTTACACGTATTTAAGACGTAGGTAAGAAGATTTGATAGAAAATCTTCATTCAGTTAGTATACCCCTGAATTTGTGTCCTCAAAAAGCTTAGATTATTAATGCTCAAATGTTTAATTGCTTAACTATACCAGATCTGCAAACCTGGAAAGATTCTTGCAACATGACTGTAACACTCTGTTGTTCACATGGGTGAAGTTTTATAAACACAGACAGTTTGGCTTGCTAGCAAGTTGCTTTATTGTATTGTATTTTATTTTACTTTATTTTTTTATCAGTTATGGTTGATAATGACATGCAGATGATTATTCCTTAAAAGCTAAGTTGACAATAGCTTGTATCGGGAGACATTCTATCTTCTTACAGTCTCTTGCAAATGCAAAACCAGATGGGTATTTTTTTAAAGGAATTGCATTTCATTATGCAGTCTTAGGTGAATTTTCATGTTTAAGAAGCCAGAATACAAGAGAGTGCTATATTAGTGTATTATTCTCACAACAAACAAGCCACTGTTCTGTTGCTACCTGCTTGGCCATTGTTCCCAATTGTGTATGCTTTGCAGTGGTATTTGGATGGTTTCCTGCTCTCTGCCAGCACAAAAAAGGCATTTCTGTTACAATGGCCCCTAACCACACAATGACGGCATTAAGGATTTATTTGGAGGTTTCATTATTTTCTCCTCTTTTGTTCCTTCCAGGATGTCTTCCAAGCGACCAGCCTCTCCGTATGGGGAAGCAGATGGAGAGGTAGCCATGGTGACAAGCAGACAGAAAGTGGGAGAAGAGGAGAGTGACGGGCTCCCAGCCTTTCACCTTCCCTTGCATGTGAGTTTTCCCAACAAGCCTCACTCTGAGGAATTTCAGCCAGTTTCTCTGCTGACGCAAGAGAACTGTGGCCGTAGGACTCCCACTTCTCAGCACAACACAATGGTAGGTTTGCTAATGGTCTATTGTGCTTACATCCATTCTTTGAATTCTGCCTCTGCAGTAGTTTGGCATCCAGATCTGTACTTTACGGAGTATACAATGCACAGTTACACGTACAGAACACGCTACAATACTGTGAAAGCCTTGACCTGGCTGGGCTGCCTTTACCCTCCACTACAAATGCTAAATCACTTGCAGTGCAGACTTCTCCTCACCTTTGCCTGATGGCATTTAGGGCACTAAAATTTGTTAGCTACAGCGATGTGAATTTGAAGTGTATGTGTTCAGCAACAAGTAAATGGTTTTGGAACACTCGTAAGTGAGAGTCACGTTTGGCGTGGTGTCTGAAATATCACCCCAATGCCAAGTTTATGCAGTAGTAAAGCACGGGAGTCTGTATAAAGGGTAAAAAAACCCCCCAACTTTGAATTTTGATGGTTTTCAAAATTCACATCTGTTGTGTAATTCACACGCCACAGATACATACAAGAAAATTTACTGTACTTATGGAATTAAGTCAGCATACTACTTTTGCTCTTAAGAATTTCCACCTTTTTGTGCACTCTACAAATGACACTGAGCACTCAATTCCTTACATTTAGCAGCTCACTGGCAGTCCAGAACTGACTGTATCTAAAAGGGGACAAAAAGAACAAAAAACCATACCGTGTTCCTCACTAGTATCGTAGTGTCACTGCTGTAGTGTGGGCCCTTCAGGGGGAGTCCTGTGATACATTTTTAGAAAGGTTGAAAGGTGCAAGGAAGGCACTGAAACCCCAGGACTGAGGCACCTCGACAAAGCTGCCTGTTGTTAATACACTTGCACAGCTCTTGCCTGTTTACAGATTGACTGTAACTTTTCTCTTAGTCCTCCACTTTGACAAGGGCACTGACAATTTCACTTTAAGTGAAGATAATGAATGGACCTGCATATTTGAAGGCTTTTAAAAAGGCATTGCAAAATAGGTGATAGTGTATTCTCATAAAAGCCTGCAACAGCTCCATAGTGGTATTTAAGCCCTTACAGCTCATTATGCATATGTAATAAGCCCTAAGTAAAAAGCCTTAGGGATTATTATTTCTCATAGGACCAAGTCACTGGATATTCACTGAAGCTGCTCTCCTAGACAAAATAACTCACTGATCCTGATCCATTTTTCTTCCTTTTTTGGGCTAATGCTTAAGTTCAAACAGTGGTTTGGAATATTTAATTTTACTTTGTGTTATTGCAACTTTACATGAAGAAAGAACAGCATTGGAGAAATTACTCATGGGCAGACATGTCATTATCTTTTTTAAGCTTGTTTACTTCTCATCCTTTATCTTATGTTTTATGGAGATGGAATTCATTAATATACAGTTCCAACCAACGGGATGTTAGGGTATGTAACTGGTCTATGAGCTTTGCAGTATTTTGGCCTATTTTAAGAGAGTGTGTTGAAGATAAGTAGTTTCTGACAATTTTTAAGTAATAGATAAAATTGTGATGGCACCAGTAGTGTGGAATCAGACCTTAATGAAATAAAAACTTACTGTTTTCTAAGGAGCCCAGCAGAAGTATTTTAACTACACCTCACTGAAACACTTATCTGCACTTTAATCGATTTTAACTAACTTTTTTATTCATTTATAGTTTTTAAGACCAAGAAGTTTAGCTGAGCATCTAGTGTGACTTCCTGCTATGAAGGCTGTATTTAATGTGATGTCAAAACAGTGTGTTCTGACTCTTTGTAATACAAGATACTGAATCATTGTGTGTTTTAGACAGTTTTGCAGTAGCAGCGACATATTGTAGGCTTATCTGAGGCAGTTTTGGGGGTTTATAAGGGACTGCTTTTGTCTTCATAAATATTTAAGTAAATTGACAGTTTGTATGAATGTAATGTTTTGGCAATATCTCTCTTTTAGTGAGGAGTGTCTTGTAAAAATCATCACCCAGGTAGATCAGAAAGGATGTAACCTATGTGTCTCCAGAAAGAAGGAAGCGATCAGTGTAAATAGGATATACATAAAATATACATAATCACACCGTCTGCTGTTGTGGTATGTAGTTATAAGAAGGAAGTAACTGAATAACCTCTGGATGGCTTCAATTTTTGTGATTAGCAGTTATGAAAATCATTCCCAAAGGGCATTCACTTCGTTAGCATTGCAGAGGTCATTTTTATACTGTTTGAATTGACATTCTGTGTATTTTATAGTCTCTGGGCAGCAAATCCCGGTGTATGCACATGTGCACACACCACCACAGAGTGCAGTCCAATACAGTTTTATTGATAAAGCTCCAGCAGCGTCCTTCACACTTGTTAATAGCTTGTCAGCTGCACTGCTGCACCTTCTGACTGAGCCGGCAAGTGACTATGGAGTTCTCATTTTGCAGCCACATGCTGTCTTTGGCAGTGTCCACCTTTACAGATCTCTCCAGTGTCACATGAGAAGGTTTCAGAGGTACAGGCAGTCTGAAATCGTGTAGTGCATCACTCTGCTGCACCTGTCTAAACCTTTCTGCTTTGTGTGCGATTGTCAGCTAAGACTCTTCTCCGAAGGGATTCTTAGATAGTCATGATATAGATCTAGAGAGGTCTTGCTCTGTTAGCTGCATGTACAACACCCATTTGGTTTAGGGAACAACCTCAGCAGAAGAAAGCCACAGCCAAGGGATTTGGGGAAGGGTATGGAATTACAAAGCTTTGTCGTGTCTTTATTCCTCTTGTCACCAAAGCCATCCCTGCCACCTCATATTCTGACTCTCAGCAATGGGTCATGAAGGGACAGCTGGGAAAAGAATTTCAACCTTGAGAATCAATTACTTGGCCTCACTTTTCTAGGTGCTAATTGATCCTCTGTTTCATAGGTTACTTCCAACTGTGCTTCCTTTTACAAGTCCTGCCAGCCTGGAACATCCCAGGATCCTTGAGGTACAGGGCTGATTGCACCACAGTTGCAACGGAATGGTTTACCCAACTTAGACTTCTGAAAATTGGCCCTGTTGCACTTTACCAATTTGCAACAACTGCCAACTTAGAGAGGCATCTCAGAATGCTGAGTAAATGTTTATAAATGGAGGACAAACTTCCTAGAAAGAAATCTTACAACCTAACCAAAATTTGCAAAAAATCTGCAAAGCCCATCTCCCCGTCAAGGTGAACAGGATATTTCTGAGGATGCTGGAACTGCAACCAGAGAAAGGTTAGTGTAGTGGGCACAAACTGAAACACAGGAGTCCCTCTGAACATCAGGAAATGCTTTTTATTGTAGGGGTAACTGAGCATAAGAACAGGTTGTCCAGGGAGGTTGTGGAGTCTCCCCCCTTAGAGATATTCAAATGCCATCTGAACGTGGTCCAAGGCACCTGACCAGGAATTGGACCAGATGTACTCTGGAGATATCCCTACCAACCTCAACCAAGGCAATTCTATCCCAGACTGTCTTCCTCTTGATAGAAGAAACTGCATACTTACTGTAAGTAGGAAAACTCTTCTGCTGATAAGAAATTTATCAGACTTAAACTAAAGGCTCAGTACGAAATACAAGACAAATCATTAGATCTAGAATATATCAGAGAGTCCCCTTAGGATGTTCATAGCAGGCCATAAGCTTAGTGGGGAAACACTTGAGGATTACAGTATCAATCAGTAACTCTTTTAAAGAAAACTGTTAAGGCTACAGTATTTGGATGGCATGGTTTAGCTCATCTAAGTTTACTAAGGTTTATTTTATTTCTACTTGTTTGCCTTACCATTTTGCTTGTGCCACCTCTCAAGACTACTGATCTCACCAGTGGAGTCTGTGTGCTAACTTCTGAAAATAAGTGATGTCAAGGCTAAAAATACTGATTAAAATATGCCATGGGCACAGTATGCTCAAATCCCACCATTCTTTTTAACTATAGAATATCAATAAAATGCCAGATAAGATTTAAAAAAGCAAAAACAAAAAAAAAAAAGGAAGTATTGATCCAAAGATCAAACTGTCACAGTGTAATTTTGCCACTGTCCAGTTGTTACAAACTGTGTGACTGCATTGTTAGCCCACGTTTGTCCTGCACTTTCAGTGGGATTTAGAATTAATTTTCAGCAGTGCTTTAAATTGATAGGAAATATTACCGTGTGCTGTTAAATGGCCTTGTTGCTTCACACTAAAAGAAGTTTGTGTTTCTGTGGTGAGTGAAGTTATTCCTCCATAACTTGGGAATAACTTTAAGAAAGTTTAGTCATGTTAAGAATAGTTATATTACTGGTCAAAGAGCTTCCTGAGGTACTGCTACATGCTTTTCCTCCACTTGTCCAAAATAAAAGTGTCTTTAATGCTGAATTTGAATTCTCTTTATCACATCTATCCTGGCCTGTGCTTCACCTGTTGGTCTGGAGTTTGTCAGCATATGAATAGTAATGGATCAGAACAACAAGCGGCTGGAGCACTTAGCTACTATTCAGAACTTCCGAAGAGAATGGAAATCTGAATGCATATAGCTTTTTAAAAAGTCAAATAGGACTCTAATTATACTGAGCTAAAGAATGCCTATTAAAAAAAACCAAAAAACAAACCACAGTGGTTTTAGAGAAATTTTAATTTCCAGTGTACCTTTGTGCATCAAGCTTAGGATAAGTTATTGTGATGATACAATGGATAGTGTTGTGAACACCAGTGCCGTTACTGTGCCAGCTCTAATAATGAGAATTTCATTGTTTGGGGAGAGCAGTCTCCTACACTCTAGACAAAAGTGTAATTACTTTTGAACGATGTGGAATGTGCTCAGTTTAATAGCACGGAGAATAGATTCACAAAGATTCAGATAAAGCTAGCTTGGAAGCCATATGTGCAATGTGGCTGTATGAAATTGTTAGCAGGCACCATAATTACAACACACACACACACTCGCACACACACAATTTCACAGTTTAAACTATAAACTGTTGTTTTTCTAAGAGTTAGACAGGCTTATCTGAACAAGGCTAGTTCAGTTAAAACAAAGCAGAAACAGTGGTAAGTTTGCGTTTGTC